CGCACTCAGCAGGCAGAACTGTATGGGCGGAAGTTCAAGTTCTCTGTCAGAGTGGTCAAATCATATAATTCCCCACCGCAGGTTTCGTGGTGTCCTCACTCAAAACGTTATCAAGGAGACCCAATTTCGACGTTAACACGAGTCAAGCTGATTGTATCTCGTCATTAACAGGGATGACAAGTTCATACTTGGATTGACTTCTAGCACGACCCTGGGTCGAAGTGATCATTGAGATCTTGCTCGGGAACATGGTCGTTTTCTGTACTGTAAATTCGAACCGTGGGGGAGGGATATATATGGAAATGGATTATTCCAAAATGAAAGAACCGTTGACTGAGATAGAATGGAACCCTGCTCAAGTATCTGACCCGAACGCCGCCTGAAGTTTCTTTGAGAACATGCTTTGGCACTTGGTAGAGAACCGTTGCCCGCATATGTGGATTCATATCGCATAATTTTTTCCTTCCGTAAATGAAGCTAAGACTTTATCAAATGTTTGTTCTTCCAGTCCTTGAATACTGCTGTCCTTTCTTCGGTATAATGAACGCCTGCGACCGTAATAAAATCGAAAATGTTCAGAGGGTTTTCACCCGGAAACTGTTCTCTCAAGCTTCGTCCAGTATTTCTTATACTCAGAGATGTCAGCTGGCGAACATGAAGTTTTTGTGGGTTAGAAGACTCGAAGCTGGCCTTTGCTTCCTTTTTCGCATCAACTCTAGCTCCAGTCTTCCGCACATTGACACTCTCACTCCGAGAGATCGGTCTTATGCCACGCGCAACTCCTGCATGGTGATTCCGCCGCCTCTTTGTACTACATCTAAGCGCTCCCTCTTCTTTGCTTCCAAATATGCCTTCCTTTGGAATAATCTTCCGCCTGAAATTAGATTATCGCCTAAGTTACTGGTATTCAAGTCGAAATTACGCAACCACCTTACACCGGAAAGCATAAAGGCACTGTTAACGGTCTCATTCCCGAACACTCAGATTCTTGACTTCGAGAAGGGTCCTCCTGGGATTTAGTGGTAGATTAAGTGGTAACTCTTATTTATATCATTAGAAACCCCTGTTTTTAATTGGTTTCTATATCCATCGCTATCCTTCCCCCATAGCGACAATTTTCGCGGTTTTTGATGTCATCTCCCGCATTCCGACCTCATGCGGTCTGTCGACGCTCACGGCGGAACCCTCAGTATTCACTGTCTACTAGTAGTTCGGTCGTACCTCCTTTCCTCACTGCTCGGCTGAGCTCGAAGCGTGCTGTGGCCGATCGCATCTGGGTTCCTCTCGTCTGGCCTCTTTGACGCGGCGTACCAATCCGGCCCAGACGATCTCAATTGTGAATCCCGTATACAATGCCATTTGCAAGCCAGTCCTGTCTGACCCACATTCGTACCCATCAAGGCGGACATTTATTGATACCCTGACGATGACCGAAAACATTCCGTTATATACCGCCACCTACAGGCCAGTCCTGCTCGCTTTATTCTGTTACTATTTTTAAAGAGGGGTTTTTTCTCCTGTAAAATTAATCCAATCATTTTTAACTTTTTCCGAGGAGTTTTTTTTACCCCTCAATCATCATGTTTCTCAATGGACTTCTAATTCAGAATCTATGAATTGCATTTTGTAAAGATTCAGCCCACCTCGTCTAAAACTCGCATGCAACTTTATTTTAACTTGCTTTGATGGGACCCCGACGGGTCTTTAATAAAAATTATCTATCTATCTATAAAAGGAGGTTGTATGTCTCCCAACCAGAGTAACTGACGTCAGAAACAAAAAGAAATCTCAAAAAGTAAAGGAGACTGTGGAACAGCTACGCCATATGTCAACAGTCCGTACACTTTTCAGAATTTGAGAAACAGCTAAATAGGTGTCAGAGTCTCCTCGGGGGAGAAGGAGCAGCATTTGAGTCAAAAGTAGTTCAAGAAATGCCGAAGAATCCGAAGAAGTTCTTCGCATACGTCGTTAGGGCAAAACGCAATCTAGACTCCATTCCTTGTAAAAGAATTAGTAAGGAAATAAGTTAACCGATAATTCAAATAAGACTAATATCTTATCCGATTTCTTCATGTCCGTGTGTGCCGAAGAGCAGCCTTTTGATGAAAAAGTACACCGACAAACTTCTCCATCTAGAAATACAATTAACACGGTGAAGTTCACAACGGACGCAGTAAGAAAACTCTAGGACGGCCACCGCTCACTGAATCGTCTGGTCCGGATGGCATATTTGCAAAAGTTCTGAAGGAGCTCGCAGACAAACTGGCCTCCCCGTTCTCCAAGACCTTTAAGCGGTGACTCTGCCTGCTGACCTAAAGCTAGCGAATGGGGAGAAAGAACCTCGCCAAATAGCTTCAGTCTAGTGATTTCCACAGGCATTTGTTGCAAACTGATGGGGCATGCTGGGCGAACAACTTGCTGAGTGCCCGTTAACATGGATTTAGAAGCGGTCGATCCTGTCCCACTAGCCGGCTCACATCCATGGAAATTTGGACGAACTCCTTAAAAATCTACTCTTTAAAAGTCTACGTTGACTCAGCAAAGCCTTTGACATGGTTTCACAAGACAGTCAATAGATAAACTGTGTCAATTTGCGTGACTGGCGACCTGCTCATGATTTGGCCGACTTTCTTGCAGGCCGATGTCAGCGGGTTTGCATGGGTGACGCCAAATCAGCGTAAGAGGTCGTTCAGAGCGGTGTTCCGCAGAGGAGCATCCTGGGTCTCATTCTATCCTTAATATATGCGAACGATTGCCCAGATTGCCTGACCTGCGAGAAGGTAATGTCCGCTGATGATCTCAAGATATGGAATTCGATTGAAAAGTCAGAGCACGCGCTAAACTTGTAAATCAACTTAGGTTGACTGCAGCAGTGGTGTGATTTATGGCTTCTCAACATCAATTTCAACAAATGCCAATTCATCCGACTAAGGTCTAGTTACAGGAGGGCTATGAGATTTGAGGGTCAGTTCTTCATCGGAGATCATGAACCCGAGCTAGTTAACGAGTTAATGGACCTAGGTCTGTAGATGACATCCACTCCCAAACCCTCGCCTCACTGCGTCAATATGGCAGAGAAGGTCATGGGTATCATGGGAGCGATCAGGAGATTCTTGCTTAACTTAAACGAAGAGCTTGGTTTTTAAACCTTTATCCGGCTGATGTCAGAATATTGCATTCAGGCATGGCGCCCCTGAACGAAACATGTACCCGTTTTTTGTCCAGTCCATGTCTGTAAATACAGTCTTAAAAGGCTCTGCTTTCCTCCCTTATATATAGTGAATTACGACCGGTGACCGCTCCGCGTGGCGCATAACTGACACCAAAATCTCATCTGTGACTCGACAAAGCTGGGCTCTGCTCGGTAACCGCCTCAGCCGACGGGCCAAGCCAGATAGGGGTGTACGATCCGGTATGTTCCTACACCCGATTATTGTACGCCCTCTCCCCTTTCTTCTCCCTCTCTCCCATGCTATAAAATCATACGGAGAAGGCTGTATGCGGTCATGTAGGAATTCCGGGTTGATTTATGTCGCTCTCTCCATAAAGGAAGCTGTAAGCAATGGTAGAGTTTGACATCAGTCTACGATGCCAAACAGCCCAATTTGAAGACGGCACTGCTTACTCCTCGCAGAAGAAGGGGTTCGATTATGTGTTTTAAGGAACTACTGGGTCCACGTCATCTGTACGCCGATTGTGACCCACAGATGCGCAATTCACGGTAGAAACAGTTAAACGAACAACAATCCTCGTTCCCGTATTCTCCTCGTCTTTCACATTCACCAGACTACTGAAGTTACTCTGATCACTTTGTCAGCTCGGAATGCTCGCTCTCGTTTAGAGGTTCGACGGGGCAACCCTCAGAAATGGAGGATCGTGGAAGCTGCTGGAGAACTGGACCACCATGAGGTTGGCATTGCTGCCATCAGAAAGACCTGCTTCTCTGAACAAGACCAACTGTATAAGGTGGGTGTCGACTACACCTTCTAGGGAGACCGCTCAAAGACAGAACGACGAGATGCTGGCATCATATTTGCCTTCTGGGACGACATCATGAGACGACTGAACTGTCTGTCTCAGGGTATCAATGATCGCTTCCTGATATAATGTCAGCCTATTTGGGAAAGCAAAATTACAACCGTTGCCAGCACACGCGCTTCCCAGTGACCAGTTCCGGCAAGGCGAAGGTGGTATGCGCAGACCTGTACGCCCTACTGGAGACCGTGCACAATGCCGACATGTCAGTTGCCGTTTGTGCTTTCAGACCAGGGCGTCTGGGAAGGAGTGCTGGCTCCCCATGGCCACAGAGTTTTCCAGAGCGTATAACCTACAAAAGGCGCCTTCTGATAGCTATATACTACTTACAGCTCATTTTTGGTCGTCCTTTCCTTCTACGTTCCGTCTTTTACTTTGCTTGTCTCTATTCTCTTCATTGTTGTCAAGGTTTAGTCCCGTACGTCTTTCGTATGGTCTTGTATACATATGATAACTATTTACCACATGCCCACTCGTTTCTTTCAGCCTTGGCCATGTTATTCTTGTCTGATACGCGGTGCTAGTATTGCGTTTGACTTTTTGTGTCGTCAAGTGATGTCGTACCGCGCTGTGGTCGATGCCATACTTGCAGCTCCCCCATTCTAAATTTCTGCCAGGCGCTCCGATCGTTAATTTGGATGCAAAATCCCACAATTCCTCAAGAATCGCTACTTTGTTGTCCCTAGAGTCTTTCGTGAACGCGTAGATCCGGAATCCTTTACCGACGACTTCAGCGAGCTGTAACTCACACAACCCTTTTGTAAATTTACTCGAAGTTGATTAAGCTTGGTCATTAACTTGTGTTTACCCTGTTAAAAAGTCGTTGAGACATTTAGGAGTGTGTGGGTTTCTGGACAAAACAATAACCGCACGTGGAACCTTGAGGACTTTGTTTATATGTTCAATTTCCCAAACCACTCTTGCGAAACTCCGACTCTTGCGTCTCTCCCAGGCTCTGCGTGACAATGTCTTATGGGTGCGTTGACCCATCGAATCATTCTACTTGTCTTTGTCTGTCCCCTTCCTTAGTGCGACTTTTCCAGTCGTACATTTTTAATCATATCTGTTGAGCAAACAAATCTTGAGCTTCTATTTTACGAATATCTACCCTCGAACCCACCAGAAGCCTAATAAGTCTGCAGATAAACTCAACCATGGCATGCCTTCGTCAGAAGTCTGGACAGCCTAACGCCTCGTTTGACTTATGGGTGATCGCCAAATCCTCGCATGTATTTGGCCTCATGCTGTCTTGATTGCATTGCCGGAGCTACTTTTCAGCTGCTGCAGGTGTAGTGGACGAAAACGTTTAAATTAGGACACACGTGGTACCGTGAAACACTGGGAATAACTCTTGGCTTGCAACAAACTGAAGCGAATTGTTATTCGCGTCATTGAACTCATCCAAATGACATGGTATAAACGTTTGGCGAGCACAGGTATTTGTGTGATAGGTACAGAAGAGAATTTGTACAAATAATAGCTAGTGATGCAAACAGGGATGAGTTACGTCAAGGAGGTGATGCCAACATGCCAGATAGGCAACCGGTGGCGAATGCGCATTCCCCACTGGTTGCTTATCAATGTCAATGCGTGCGCGTGCATGTACATTTTGTGCGGCCAAACAGACAGTTCTTTCCCCGTCCCCCATCAGGAGCATCCCCGCAGCTCGTAACGCGAGGCATTTGGCGGCTTACTCGACCCGGTACGTCCGCGATTTCGCCAATGAGACGATGCTTTCGTATGCATACGAAATTGAGGTTTTTTGCATCGGTCCGCGACCGCAGGATCTTTGTACTCACCATAGCCTGTAACTTGACTACAAAATGTCAGTGTAGACTTGAGTGAAAGATATATGCTGTGTAGTTTCGCTCATCAAACCTATTGCATGGACCTGTGGGTGCTTGATTCGCATTCAGTCCATCAAGACGCTCTACCACTGACATTTCCACTGTCCCTAGCCTTGCACAAATGCGAGTCTTCTTTCGCGTGTTTTTCACTCATTACCTCAGTTTCTTAACTATCCACCTTGCGCGGTTGTTATCAGTACCTTCTTGGTAGATCCCTTCGTGGTATGTTCCATACCAATATTTGAAATCGCTGCTGCTTGAACCCATCTCACCGATTTAGAAACCGACATGGTTAGAACGACTGTGACCACTATTTAATGCTACGTCACCAGAGGATATGTTTATCAGGCCAATAGGTGATGGAGGAATCTTACTCCTTCTAATTAGGTGTCATAAGTGACAAGACCCCTGACCCGGGATGAGGCCGATTTTAACTCTCTAAACCGGGCAATCTACTGTACCCAACCGTTCTTTGTAGTACGCATATTGAGTGGCGCATCTCTCCTTTAATTTTCCGACGACGTGCAGCTCTTAATTTGCAGGGGAACCGAGTTAGCGGGGCAATTGCAGTCTTTCAGGTCACTGACTTTGCCCTCAGGTTTGCGCCTAACATAAATGAGCCATCTTAATTGGTAAGTAAACGGGGCGGGGTTTACGGGTTACGTTTTTCATCGAAGACATGGATGCGGGTTGAGACGTAGTCAGAAAGACAAAATCGGAGAATAGAGTGCAGGCGTCGTCGGTCAGCCAGATGTCGCAAACCTGAGCGTAATGGCCTCCATACACTCATATAGGGCTGTCTCAATGATTACTTGGTCTGCAGGTTGGTTTCATGTCGACTCCAAGGGTCTTGTACTTCCGGTTGTTTTGGTAGTGCAGTCTATCTTTGCCTCGCTTCAGAAGGTCTGACCCATAGTAGTAAAAATTGTCCGCTAGCTCGGTACTGTCACTGTCTGCCCCGACCGAGCAAATATATCCAATTATGAAGCCCGAAGTGCTCATTTTCCTTTTGACTGTCTGACTGTCTTCGCGTCTGTCTGAGACGCTACTGGATGCACTTTTTTAAATTGAGCTTGCTATCACCACGTCGTCATCGGCGCAGTCCAGATTCATCGTGTACGGACCACGACTCACTCTAACGCTGCCGTGGTCTGCCAGCCTAATGAGCAGAGTATAATTCAGTCACAAAATCGATGAAGCAGACAAAAGCGGGCTGTCAACATCAGCAGTTGTGCTTGAAGATTGGGCGAAGTAAAAGTTCCGATGAGAACATGCCTACCCCAGTCGCGAGTCGCACTGATTCCTTCTTGTTCGCGCGTCGTAGTACAAGCGGAAGTGATTCAGGAGGGCGACTGTGAAGGTTCTTGAGGTGGTATCAAATGAGCTATTTCCACGGTATTCCCTCCACAGCGGTCCGCCGTCTTAAGGATCTGCGTATATTAACGTCAATCCATTCTGTGGACACAGCCCCTACTTCCCAATTGCGGACCAGATTTTCGTGTAAGCTGTCAGATATAACACTCGAACAGCATTTGTAGCCTTCTATCGGAAGTCGATCCGCGCCAGATACTTAATTGTTTAGCCGGACTTCGTCTAGAACAAACTAGATTGCAAGGTTCACAGACGCAAGGAATTGTTTTTCATCGGAAGGCCGTATGTACTGGTGACGTTATCGCCACACGTCGATTGTCGCAGATCTTTACTGCTGACGGGCTGAATGCTGGTTTGCGCTTAACATCCTATATCGCCGCCAGATGTCGCTATTGAAGCGCGTTCCAGATCTCGGGTAGTTTTATCCCAGAGTTCGTTGCATTCACGCCAAGCAGACCGCGTAATCTAATGATCTAATTCCCCAAAGTTCGAATTGACTCGCAGACGGGCGATATTTGCACTGTCAGCCAGTCTGGTCGTCCCAGGACGGATGCGATCCATCCAAAAACGCCTACTATGTCCTAACTTCCTGTGAGGTGCCGTAGGGTCTGCTTCAGTTCGAACGAATTTCTTTCAAGGGCGACTTCTTTAAACCATTTGTTGTCTGTCACTGTGGCAGCGACCGGAGACAATCATACGGAAGCTTGTGACAGTGACGGGATCTCCGAGATGGTCAACACTGCAACTTCTCACAGTTAATGCTCCTTCAACGCCACGTAATCAGCCGGATCCTCATACGAGCATGACCAAAGCTGTTCTTCTTGCTGATGTTGACACAACGTATTCCGCTAGAGTCAGAGATCGAGCTTGTCTATCGTGCGCGGAGAAACATGCACTTAATCTGACTTAGAGTGCGGCCATTATTGGAATTCAGTGTAGCTGCATGCCCTGTGGGGTGTTCGTAATAATTAAGTGGTTCGACACGGCAAAAGTGACGGGCTTTTAATTCATTGGATCCAATTGCGAAAACTCGTCGACATCGGTTGTGTTCGAACCCGCGACAACGAGAGCAAGGCCTGAATAAAGCCAAGGATCTAACCACCTGAACTACGACACCCCACCGAGAGCTGGGAGTCGAATCGTATTGTGCGCGCAGCGGTCAGTTACTCTCCTAGTATATGCGTTAGGCTTCCCCGTCTTGCATTGTGGGCAACGTCAAGGTCACTTTCTGAGACACATTTGAGTATCGCGTGAACTTCGTCATAAGAGACCTATTTTGCATGCTATTCGTATCCACTTTAGCATCTACAGCAGCATCACAAAGACGCACAAGTGCAGTTCAGGATGACACCGGTTCTCAATATGTAAGTGAAGGTTTGGCTTCACAATTCAAAGGAACGGAGGCAACATGTTAGTCAGTTGTCGCTGACGCCTTTTTGGTGGAAATTGCTGCATTTCTTTGTACATTGCACCCTCGAGTCATGGTCTGGCAAGCCCATCTTTGAGAGGCAGGCAATGTCTACGTTGCAATACACTAACGCCTACATGACAAGACTCTGTGTTACCGGTGTGAAAGTTCTCACGTTCCAACATGTGACTCGCAGTTATTTCCTCCTTTTCGAAGAGGCCAGCTTGTATACTTGCCATCTGGCCTCTTGGCATAGGCCCAGACGCATCGGTTCTCACGGCTGCTATAGCATGAATCGAGACTTGTGATAAGGAGACCTGCTTAAGATGGAGATTCACGAGTCTGAAACTTAAGCTGCCTTTAAAGGATATTAAATGTGAAGTGGTGGAAAGGGATCCCGGACACCCAGGTACTGAGAATGACTGACATGCTAAGCGTGCGTCAATGTGGTCTTGAAACCATATTTCCCTGGAATTTGATGTTCGCGCGTCGTTATAACCTCGTGCGTTTGTTATACTGAGGATAACTGCGGGATCTGATCTCAGTTCCAAAAGATATGACAACCTTGTCGCTTTTGCCAAGTGAAATGCCAGGGACAGCCATGAGTGCATCTTTTTCAACTGGCAAGAACGCCAAATCGAGACAGGACGAGTACCGCAGCAAGTCATGTGGGACTATTTGCAACTGTGTTTGGTGCATTTTCCGTTGAAAGCGTTTGCGCTTTGTCGTTAAATATGTTATCAACACTGCTTTCGGAGTTTTTGTCCTCCGTCGCATTGGCATACTGGGACCGAGTCGCCAGGCATCGGACACCAGAGAGCCTGTGTTATGCTGCTTCAGTCGTCATATTGTAGTGCCCTCATTTGGCTCCATAGTAATTTGTAAACCAATCGGTGTACCTGACCTCTTTTATCTGCCCCATGGTAGCATTGTCGTTGTTGTCCCTTGACTACCTAGAGATCTGCTCATCTCGCACCCGGCCTTTGCTGAAGACCGATCCCCCATTCACCACATGTGGACGCGCCGTGTGGCCAACAGTTTTCCCAATTAACGGTTCCGTCTTTCGGAAGTTATGCACTCCCAACACATTGCACGTTTAGGCTACGATAGACGAGTAGAAGCAGGACTGAGTGCAGAGACCCCTCTTTTATTAGTGATTTTTGATCACCTTTTATTTGTTAATAATTAAAGTGCAAATATAAGGACAAGACTCCACTTAGGATGTATCAATTATTTTCATAGAGTTGTTTCGAAACTTGCGCCCAGTAGCACAGATTTTACCTGCCACCGCATACCAAAATGCTTTCGATTCTGTTTGCGTTAAGGTTACTGCCACTAGTAAATAGCTGTTCATCCCCCCCCCGCCTCCCACGTGTTTCCACAGGTAGTCTTTTGTGGCCTTACCTGTGGGTCAAAAGCTCGCATCAGGTCTGAGAAAATTTTTATTCCACAGGTTTGAATCCTCGCCACCAACATTCTCGGAAGACTCTTTGCAGCAAAACGCTTCAGATAATGAGATGAAAATGGCTCTTCAGAAACTGCAAACACAAGCCGAATTTCAGAACCAGGTGTCTAATCTGACCGGTCGGTGTTGGGATCTGTGCTATACTGGAACCCCCGGGGCTAAAATGGACGACAAGCGGGCCAACTGCCTGAAAAACTGTGTCGAACGCTACATTGATGTTTCCGTGCTTCTGCGTAATCGTTTCCAAGCCCTGGTCGGACGTATGCAGCAACAACAACAATGAAGGAACTATATAGTGTCTTCTTAGCTTTTCTATCAGTAAAATAATACTTCGTTTTATGAACGAGCTTTGCCAAATATGTTGTTTTTTGTCGTGTTCGAGCACTGCGACCATAGACGTGCAGCAACAAATTCGATTGGTCGTCTGCCGGCTGCTATTGGACAGGGAATCACTGCTTATAATACTATTGGTCATCGACGCAGTCTTCCGGGTGGCCTGAAAGCCCGCTTAAGCCAATGGCTCGGCCGACAGGGAGTTGCGTTAGCCGACTTCGTGGACATACGGCTTTCTGTATTTCCTGGGCTCGAAGGAGAATACTCCCATCTCCTGGCACTCCGATTTAACGCTCGAGAATTGCGCCAGCAGCCTGGCGAATTCTTGCTGCATGTCATAAAACCGCTATGAGTTATGGCTTGTGATCTTTTGGTAGCCACTGGAGTTGCTATATGATTTGTCTACACACGCCTGAACGTATCGCTGCCTTATTTGCGACCGTTTATTCTCTAGACGCGAGAGCCTGCATCCTTCACAGTTAACCCCGGCTAAAGGTCATTCCACTATCTGCCTTTGCTGGACACGCCAAGTTAGTCGCAGTCAGGCTAACAGGTAGCTCGTCTTCCTGGAATTCCTGCCGTTCGGGATTATTGTCAATGTATTAGTTGCCGTATATGACTGCTTTCAGCATTAAACAGGATTGTTCACCTTCAAACAGTTCACAAATGAAGATTAGTTTTCTCTGGAGGGCTAATTGATGACTGTCTGACATGAAAAAGTTTAGAAGGACTGCTCTCCATACAAACGGGCCAGACTTTTAACTATAAGCTAGAAGCGTTTTAGTCTGGCCCTCGGCCTTGCATGCTCTGGCTGTTCCACTTTTTAGCATAATAAGAGCAGGAAGCGCCTAGGTAGGCAGTAATTTGTTTGTGCTTGGGAGTTTTTCGAGATCATTAATTACCGTGATGACGGGGAGACGATACTGCAATCGTTTTGGATGTCCAGACAATGTACTTCCTCGTACTTGGTACGGTTGTGATCATACCTAATCTAGCCGGCATCGACGATGTTGCAGATTGTACCTTACCACATGTGACGATCCGCGATGGCAGATCTGGGGAGTCCGATCTATTCCACCAACGGCGGAGACCGAGTAACTGAGGTCCAAGAAGGACTTCTGTATCTTGGCGAACTGTGTGATACCAAGTTGCGAGTTGATCTCTTCGACGTCCTTAGGTGGGCAACGGCGTCGGGTCAGGGACGACACCTAGCTTATGAGGCGGGCGAAGAACGTACGCAAAACACATTAGTGGTCAGAGATATCCTCGCGATGTCACAGCAAGTGGGCACTTACTCACCTGAAACGAAGTCGGTGTACCTCAGTCGAAGGATGGTCCTCAGGCAGTGGATAAACCTCCAGTTTTCGCTCACTTTCCACACGTACAACCCCTGTTCGCAGCCATATAAGAGGGACGGATGTCCGGCATGCACGGTTCTTTGTAGCAATAGAGATGCCTCGTCGGATCCATAAACCTCTTAACGGCTGTGAAAGCCCTGCGGGTGACATCGGTTCGAGAGGCGATGTCATCCTTACTTTGTTTATTCGGCAGCAGCCTCGCCACAAGGTATTTGAAAGTGTCTATTCCTCAAGTTGACAATCATCAATCCTGAGGACGAGTCTTTTGATGAAGAATGCCTGTCTAAAACACTGGTTATCTTCACGTTGATGGGTAAACTGGCAGATTCAGCGACTTCATTCGCCTGCGACACCGTAGTCTGTAGGTAACCGAGGCCTGACGCTAGAGGGAGATATCGTCAAAGTAATCAAGACCACTCAGCGGACGCTCGGGTTCAGACTCAACACCGTTAAAACCATGTAAGTCAGTGGTGTGGTTGAACAGTATGGGCGACGCAATGCAGTCTTATCGAATATCGAACGGTTGGGAAAGATTATTATGAACCAGAAATTTCTCATTAGTGGGACGCTAGCAGGCCTTGATCATGACGGTGCTTTCACCGACGTACCATCTGGTTCCGTTATCCACAACAGACGACTATCGGTTGCTGGTAGCCCTGGCGAAGTTCGAGAACGCTCCCCAGTGTGAATATCTGGCCTGCGCATCCACACCTAGCTTGGAACCCGGCTTGGTTTGGTCACGTCCTTGAGTCACGCACATCATGAAGTCGTCTGAGAACGACAGGAGTGAAGACCCTCACAGTAACGTCCATGAGAATCACACTGTCAAATTTCCCACTTTAAAGGCAGACACAAGGAGTTCCCTCCGCTCCGGGCGCCTTGTTTCTGTGCAGCCTTCTTATTGCATCGACGATTTTGGGACGATGTCAGTCTTATACATTTTACTCATTGGCTCTAAGCCTTCTTCCGTTGTCTCTCCGACACCAGCGGCTTCGGAATTAAACATAAGCTAACCGTATCTTCCTTTTCCCAATACTCATCTCTCTCAGATTGGCAAAGTCAAGAGATTCGGGAGGTAAATTTGAGAAAAAGGAGGGACTCACAAACTGTGTTACGAGCCTGTATTTTCAGCATAAGAAGGCCATCCGGTACATCGACTCGATAAGAGATACTCAAGACCATCCCCACACGAATAGAAGCAATAAGCGGCTCTAAACCGCATCAGCCGCGACTTATTTGGCGGTTACCCAGAAAATAAACCTAACAGCCAAAGGCTGTGAGGTTTCTACCGTTGGTATGCCAATAACGAAGAGAGCAATGGTGCTAGATTAAGGAACTCGACGAAAGTTACTACTGGAGACAAGTATCCCCGGGATCCTGGGTTTGCACTTCATTCGATGGTTGTAAGACCGACGTCCTGTGAGACAAAATCTAAACTAAAAGTAGCTGTGGTGTGTCAGCCTAGAATAAGGTACGACTGTAGTGACTATAAGTTAACTTTGGTGCAGAGTGGAGTAAAAGGCTTGTGTGGAGTGAGAAGTCACAGCAAGGCTACGTGAGTTCCATATTTCCCTATGCTATACCAGCACCCAGCAGGTGTGTATTACAGTTCACGCACAATCTCGGGTCTGCTCATTTGAGTGTCCCTCCTATGGGGATAAGGTATGCCGTGCAATCCCAAAAAATCAAGGTCGCGGTTTCTGATTGATTGGACTGTAGTGATTTTCTTGAGCGGTCTTCTCTGGCGTCTCTCAGAAGGTGAAGGGCATAAACCATGAACATGTTGGGGAAAAAGAGAGATTCAAGTTACTACTTTGTGACTTTACACCTCGTCCTGCGGAGTGCTACGAAAAAAGCTACTTGTCTCATGCCCTCACGAAATATTGCTGTCTGTGTGTCTTATTGCCTGTGGTTCACACCAAAGTCTCCTGCCGGAAAGGCAATACAGCTTTCGCCGCCATCGTGGGACCACGGACATGATCTTCGCCGCCTGTCAATTGCAGTAGGTGTCAGGAGATTCGGGTCCGCCTGTACTCTACCTTCGTGGATCTGAAGAAAGCCCTCGACACGATGAATCGTGACGGACTGTGGGAAATTATGCAGAAATTCGGCTGTCCCGAACGATTCACTCAGATGCTGCGTCAGCCCCACGATGGCATGATCGCGCGAGTGACGGGCAATGAAGCTGTCGCAGAGGCATTCCCATTGACTAACGTAGTGAAACAGGACTACCTTCTCGCGCCCACCCTCTTCAGTCTTAGGTTCTCTGCCATGCTGATGAACGCCCTGGGATCCGCAGGACGGACGGCCACCTCCTCAACCACAGGCGCATGCACTTACAGTCGCGTGTATCCACGACCACCGTCCATGAATTGGGAAAACCTCGCCCGAGACCGACCGACCTGAATGAGGACAGCGAAGACCGACGCAACGATCAACGAAGCCAACCACTTTACCGACGCCAAGGCCAAACGTGCGGCTCGAAAATTGCAACTGTCCCCACACAGCAACGCTAACGTCTAACCGCTCCCTATCTGCCCACGATGTCTACGAACGTTTCGGGCACACATCGGTTTTATTGAACATCTTCGGAACCAATTCGCCACCAGAATAACAACATTTCCTTCCCCTTCCACTCTCGCCTCTACCGCAAATCCCAAGCCGACCGCCATCCCTGTCACCGCCGTTCACACAGTCGCCACCCAGCCGACATCCCCCATCGACACCACCCGCCCTCCCCCCTCCTGCTGCATCGACCACAGCGATCAGTACCAGCACCATCAGAACGATGACCTCACGCACTCCCTCACCTACTGGACACGTCCAAAGTCCTATTGACTTTAAACATCACCAACATCCACGTCCGGCAATGTGGACTCGGTTCATATCTCTCCTTACTGCGATCGCAAATTCGTCTCACACATCAGTCGGGTCGGTCACTTGCGAATCCATCGGACACAGACTTGCGAACCAGTGCCTGGAGTACCGACCTACACTCGCCGCATTCGCCTCCACTGTACACAATACCCCCGCACATTCACCTATGGCATGGGCCTGTTAGGCCGCATGTGCATTCACAAAAACCTGCGGTAGACCACCGCCATTCATGTCAGAGCCTCACACCTTCCCCACCAGCACCTGCATCACACATCAGCCATCGCCTCACAACCCAAGCACTCAATTGACTTCTCTCCCTTGAGTGGGAAAGATGCTTCTCGGCTATTCTGCTGTGTGTGTGACCCGAGTATGAGACTATTACGTTGCGCCAAGCTCTGTTGCTCGGAAGGCTGCCGACTGACGCCTCAACTCAGTCCATGCAGTCAACCGAGTCTTGTGTGTTTATGCGGAGTGGCGGACAAGTGAGCTGAGAGCCAGGCTGTCACAGCTCCCTTTTAAGTGACCACTAGCATTCTCGGATGTGAGGCGTATGTGCGCACATTGGTAGTGCCTCTCAGTCGATGACTGACTGGTCACCCGGCTTTTGAAGGGTAATGGTCCAGGCTAAATGCAGAGCTGCGTCCCACACTTCTGGGCCTAAAGGATTGTGTGCGTCTGCTGTGCCGCGATCCAGCCGACCATAGTAGTTGCAGAC